CAGATCATGCTTGTAAAGAGAGGAGCGGTGAAAGCAGGCCAGGGATCTGCAGCCAGCCAGCTGATTACAGAGCCTGTTGCTGAGGGTTTTTCATAAGCTCAGTTTGGATTTAAATGTGGGGGTCGTCTGTCCCAGCATCTCCCATGTTACCGATGTGTCTGTCATGGAGACAAGCATGAAGACAAGATGAGTGTGAACAGAAAATGATTCTAGGTGGCTTTTATTGTCGCTCTCCACTGTCCCCTTAAAGATGGATAATGTTTTTGCCTGTGAGTCCATTTGTCTGCATTGTTAGCAAACAAGCGTGAATTTTAATAAAACCCCAAAGACTAATCATTCAACATGCACATCTGCTGGTCTTTGACTTAAGGGGTAAACTCACTTCAAAATGGCCACTACAGCTAATAAACCTTTTTTGCGTGACCTTTGTCATCGCCCTCTCCTTATTCTGCTCTTATTCTGCCTTTTCCAGGATCCACTGATTTCCCTCTTTCCTGTTCATTTTCTTTCTCCCTTTCCTTAATGGTTATATTTTCTCATTTTTAACATTTTTTTTATAATAAAGAAAAAATCTTTTTTATTCTTTAATTTCTTTTCCTTTTGTGAAGCGCTTTGTGATTTTTGTAAACGATCGTTTTCTTTCTTTTAGTAGAATAAAAACAGGTTGTAACTCAGCCAAGCTGACGGATAGTGAGCAAAAATTTGATCTCGCGAATGTCGAAAATCAGCTCTTACGTTTAAAATGTCACCATTTACCACTGAATTTTCTGCTGTCTTTTTAGCAAATGATCCCATAAACCATTGAGTGCATTAAAATGTTATGTTACCAGCGATGACTGAGATCCACAAAACAGTCCAAAAACATTTAAACTTAACAACGTTATCATTGGATGTCCATCTACACCTTTACAAGTTAATCAAGCTCCAGACGACTGCCACAGTCCAGTGACAAAACAACAACAACAACAACAACAACAACAACAAAGTTAATTTGACATACAGAAAAAAAAACTTTGGGAGTTACTTGACTCTATTGTATACATCGGTTCCACGTGATTAAAATAAGTTTAATCACTAGAATATTTCTCTTTTCTTTTACTATTGAACTTTCATTAAACCCAAGTATTTTACTGGTGTAAAACTGCTTAAAACATTTGTGTTGATTCAACTTGATTTTTATAAACTCAAGGTAATGATGGTTGTGTTACCTTGTGCAGATTCTGAGTATAGGTGCACCCCTTTAAGGCTGCTATTGAATGAGCGTTCTCTCGATTAGCCAATCACTAAAGAGCAACATGCTGGGGCATCTGTCCCATCCAATCACTAATCAGCTTGCTGAATCATGAACATTCTTTTTAAGTTGCCCCAACAAGAAGGAATCAAGTGTAAACTCCATTGTACCCTTTTAGTTTAGCGTTACACAGGTTAATCACATTCGTCTTGCAAACTTGATCCAATTATGTAGAAATTATATGTAAGGAATAAGAGATCTGAACGAACAGAGGATTTTTGTTTTTTTCAGTGCATTCTGTCATTTCTGGTTATGGTTGAACACGACTGTCTCTCGTCTCGTCTTCTTCCGCCTGTCTGGGTCTGGGTCGCGGGGACAGCATCCCAACTAGGGAGTTCCAGACCATCCTCTCCTCAGCCACTTCCACCAGCTCCTCCGGTAGGACCCCAAGGCGTTCCTGGGCCAGTTCAGAGATATACTTTCTCTAACGTGTGCAGGGTCGACCAGGGCGGCCTCCTGCCAGCAGGACATGCCTGAAACACCCCCCTAGGGAGATATCCATCGTAACAAGATGCCCAAACCACTTCAACTGACTCCTCTCAATATGGAGGAGCAGCGGCTCTACTCCGAGTCTCTCCCAATTGTCTGAGCTCTTCACCCTATCCCAAAGGCTGAGCCCCACCCCGAGGAGAAAACGCATTTTGGCCACTTGTATCAGCAATCTTGTTCTTTCAGTCATTACTCAAAGCTCATAACCATAGGTGAGGACTGGGCGGTAGATCGAGCGGTAAATCGAGAGCCTTGTTTTCTGGCTCAGCTACTTCTTCACCACAACAGACCGGTTCAGCATCCGCATTACTGCAGACGCTGCCCCAATCTGCCTGTCGATCGACAGGTGAACATGATTTTTAATCACTTTTATTCAATGCAATAAAATTTAGTATATTTGACTTTGCCAATAAATCACTCAAGTCTACTTCAGTAATCATGTTTAGAGAAGCAACATGTCCAAAATGTGTTTTAGCATATTCAAGGACATGCCAAGTATCTTTTGTCGGAAATTGGGCTAGACTATATAAATTTCACCTAAACTGATAAAATCCCATCCCATCTCAGCACAAGGTTATTTTAGTTCACTGGCATTAAATGCTGTGGGTGATATGCATTCCTTCAAAGACTGGTAGTCCTTTAATTGATCACATAGTTGCACAAAAGGAGTAAAGATCATAAAATGCAAACTTAGAATGAATCCTCTGGGTCAAAAACATACAGATAACTCAAAAACAAGGCATTTATAATAATGTGGGTGATGAGAATGCTACTTTATTTTCCTCTTTAACGCTCTTTGTTTGGGTTTTAGTCAAAAGATGAGACGAGAGTAGGTGGTTGGGGTGAGGGTCATCTTTTAAGTGAGTGCTTTGAGGATTTTGTTCCTCCTGTTTTGTTGCTTCCAGAATCCACTGGATACACGATCGCTCCCAACTACCCCCTTCCGCAGTCCAGCCAGCCTCTCCTTCTACTATGACCCCGAGGACTGCTGTCAGCACGCTGACCTATTGATCAAGCTGTCTGTATGCTGCTGAGAGTCCTCAGCGTGAGCAGGGCTGAGGTTAACCGAACACAGAGAGATAACCATCATATATACATGTACCAGCAGTCAAATGACACAAGCCATGTTAACCGATGCTGGATGTTGGATTTTATTTCAGGTGGCATTTTACTGTGACCTTAGTAGAGCTTTGCTCATTATGGTGTTCATATAATGGTAAACCAGGATTTTTTAAATATTCATTAGTTAAAAAACAAATTGTCTGGTGTAGACATTCTGCAACCTTGAGTTTTCCTTGTAAGAATCAACGTTCTTTGTGGATGAAATCTGAGCTAGCTGTGTATTAACACAAGCTGTGGAAACCTCCTGGCATAAAAGAGATGCACACACACACACAGTTTCTCTGAACTCTACCTTTGGGGGTTCCCCGCCAAACTAGCAACCCGTTAAGAGTGAAACAACAAATAAACGCCTCACTTCCCTTTCCTCTCCCTCCGTCTCCCTTTCTCATTCTCTCTGTCATCCAATGAGTCTTTGTAAATGCATGTGTGTGTATGTGTGTGTGTGGCTAGTAGCTTGCAGGCCCTTCCTGGCCAGGGACACAGCTAAATGAAGAGGAGAATCAAGCCCCAGTGCTGTGACCTCTGCAGGCCTCATTCTGCTCCTCCTCCAGCTTTGTTTATTAACATCTCAAGGCTTTTCTCTATTCCACTCTGATTTCAGATTTTCCTTTGTGCACAAGAAAATAGCCTACAAGAATCTGTCTGTCTGTTCCCGCCTGTTGACGTTTCTGTGGAACGGTTTTTACAAATTAGTTAACAGGCGGGCTCTCAGAAAAAAAAAGCATTCAATACATAAGCATTAGCATGAGTTAATTGATGCCTAATTAATTTCTGCTGCCATGCATGAATTTGGGCTGACTTCCCCTGCTGCCACTGGAGACAGAGACAAGGGCGATGATTTCCAGGCTTCCCATAAATAAATGAATAAACATTGAGACGGGCCAGAGAGGAACCGGTCCTGCAGAGTAGCCAGGTGTGCAAGGTTAAAGACCAACTATGTGGGCGTATATGCTCTCTCTGTCTCTCTTTCTCTCTCTCACACACACACACATAGTGCACACACACACAAAGCACAGCAGGAGCAGGTGCAAATACAAATGATTTTTGAAGCTCTCTAGAGGTGCCAGGCTAAAGCACCGAGGCTCAGCGCAATAGTAGCAACACATACCCAACGTTAACACCGTGCATTCTGAAAATTGCACCTCTGGATATCCAAAATGCACGTCCTGATCCCTACTTTCTCCCCCCTCTTGCCTCATTATTTATTCTACGTGAGCATCTCGCTACATCCCACAGAAGTGTTGAGAAGAGTGAGGAGTAGATGATAGAAGTGGCCTCTCTCTCGCCTAATTTGTAGTAATTGGTAGCTCATTAGGTGAAGCAGGTCAGTGTCACAGGGAGCAGGCTGTCAGGGCGTGAGGTTAATGACGGAGAGGAGGCACAGACAGACGGATTAAAAACGCTGCCATGAATCTCCTCAGCTGGCTTGTCTCTACCTGAAGGTCCAGCTGTCCACTGTCCACGGTACCCACTAAACCTTCTTGTCTCATAAAAGGGCTTTGGCTTTATGCACTGTGACATTTTATTCTGTTTGACTTGGACTCGTTAAGATTTACAGAGACCTGGCTTCAGTTTTGGGTGTATGACCCATTATTGTGCAAGGGATCATATCATATCATTTCCTAGGATATCCAAATTGCAGTACTTTTTAAAATATTTTCTTGTACTTCCAATAAACAGGATTTATTTCAACTACAGACAGGAAAGGCATCATGTATGCATTGATAGACAGAACTGTTACCCATGCGTATGAGTCGATGTGTGTTCTAACAAATGCTCTGCAACGCCCAGCACACATGCCCATAACGAGCTGTATTCTGGCGAGCTCTGCTCGTACCACATGTGAGGCTCAGATTTTGTTTTTGGTTTTTTAAATTATGCACTAAAACTAAAGAACTGTTTGCAAAAACACAAAGCAAGTAAGCAGTGACAATATAGAAAAAGGTTATTTATTCTTCTGTTTTATTCAAAGAGCATGCCTTCAAGTTATTTGACATTTAAGCATGCCAATCTCATCCAAAGAGCGTCTAAAACCAATCCAGGCCGAATCCAGCAAATACTCCTGCACCAACATTTGTTTTATTTTTAGACCCCCCCTCCCCCCACCCCCCGTGTTTGTATTTTATTGCGTGTAAATGGGAATATTTAGCTTAACCGCAAAACAAAGACTAATATCCCTCATTGAGTCATTGGTTGCTTGCTGTATGAATGCTCGCGTTTGAATATTGGAGACGGTAAGAGTTGGTTTAGACGGCTATTTATTTCTGCAGAAGTGACCACAGGATGCATTAAGCAAGACCTAAAGGGACGAGCCTGCATCAACCTGATAGTGAGATCACAGATCTGGCCTGAGAGGTACAGCGAACTGCACTTTCACGTCCAGGTGGTTTGAACATGAGACAGAAATTTGCAGTCATAGACGAGTGTGTGTGTGTGTGTGTGTGTGTGTGTGTGTGTGTGTGTGTGTGTGTGTGTGTGTGTGTGTGTGTGAGGTCACTCTGTGGGGAACAATAGCTCATATAAAGAGGTTAGGTAAGAAACTTGAGTGATGGCTAGAGGAATGAAACCGAGCCGAGCTGCATCTAACCTGAGGATCTTTTTTTTATTTTTCAGGCTCTACATAGGCCCTTTCCCATCATGCCTGGGAATGGATTACTGTACCCAATTTAGATTGTGTTCCATCAATTTTCTCTTGCAAAGATTCCAACCTTTTGGCATGCATTGTGGGTAATTATCAGTTGCCACTTTCCCAGACATAATCGGGTACTTTTGACAGCTGAGTTATTAAACTGTCCTCTGTACCTGATAAACATATTAATTTATTTCAAGATAGATAATTTGATCAATGCAGGAGTCATATCATATATGGGCCAGACGATACCCTCTCCTTTTTAATTATACAAATATCAGAGTCGTCAAAATGACAGATTTTTAGACATTTGGATGCTCAGACGCCTCTCCTCCTCGGGGAGGTTTTGATTAAAGGAGCAACTCTTTCCTCAGAATAGCATTGTTTGTTAGCAGAGTCAGTGTAGAAGCTGGTATTGTTTAGCCAGTGCACCTCATTTTTAATTTCCAACTATAAACAGAGAAAAAGGTTTTGAATTATGCACTACCATGTGATTTATTATCATTAAGGCTTCAGCAGTCTCTCACTTTTATCGGCTCTTACAGGATGATCAATAGTGTCCTCAAACATGAAAGCAGCCTGCATCAATTGAACTCTGTTTAGTGTGTAATCATAGTGGAATCACACGTTTAACCCCATTAAAACACGTCTGAAAAGGCAACATTACTCAGTTTGTAAAAGTCTTGTTTGGTGTCAGCTAGTCTACATGCTTTAGAAGGTTTCCTGCTTTCACACACCTGATTTCATTGAACGGGTCAGTAACCAACTGCTCTACAACCTGATGACTTTCTATTGGTGTTCATTAAATCATTTGACCAAAATTATAAAATACATAAAACAACCCAAAGCCATAAATCCACAATTTGATAAATAAATAAACAAACAAACAAACAAACAAATAAATAAATAAATAAATAAATAAATAAATAGATAAATAATAAAACATTTTTATTGAACTGTTTGGTCAAATAAATTCAGACAGCGATGACTGAGATCCACAAAACAGTCCAAAAACATTTAAAATGCTTAAGTGTTGTTATCATTAACCCTCTGGAGGCAGGCGTTGCAGATTTACTACATTAAAATCTACCTACCTGGTTACTCCACATACGTATTTCATGAGCATTTTTTAACTCAGAATTACCCCTGAAGGACTTAGTTGTTCGTCCTTATATCAAAACTTATTTTGAGCCTGAGAGGGTTAACACTGTATACATTTTTTTTCAGACTTTCAGATTCAAGATAATGTATTGTCATTGTGCAACAAAGTTTGACTTTTAAATTTGATGACACAGTTCTGTTATGCGTAGATGTACCCTGCTGAAAAAAACTGCACATGGATTATGGACATGTGTGCTAGACCAGCATCCCATCCTGTACCAGCATGCTGGATCAGAATCCATTTAACAGCATCCCATACTGGAGCAGCACACCAGCATCCAAAACACAACATGAGCTGGTTCAGCAGGGTTGGCCCATGTGATTTAAAAATAAAACAATTCTGGTATTAATTCATTTTAACGTAAGTCAAAAATAAGCATTTCATTATCTATTTACTTCAATGATTTAAATTTCCTGAGAGTCTGCAAGGTTTGTCAGATCATCCCATCTGGGACTTTTCGCCCTTTTATCTGACTGAGAGGCGTACAGTAACGGGATGTACTCCTCTACTGAACGTTCTGAGTTGGACTTTTCTGACAGAGTCCGGAATGATGACGAGATGAGAAAAGATGTGGATTCAAAAACATTAGGAACTTTATCTTTTCCCTGATGAGCAGCTTCTGTCTTCCTGTTGTAACGTGTTTGGAGCACGATGACCCTGCAGCGGTGGGCCTTGTTCTGCGTGTACACACAGCTGTGTAGCCTCTGTCCAGGCATTGTCCTGCACACTTCAATGTTGTTCCTGGACAGAAAGATATCTGGTGTTAACTTAAATGTTTATACAGCTCATCAGCTGTGTTAGTGTTACAAGACACACACAGAATCTAGCTATAAATTCATTACAATGCAGGGGAAACATTGTGATACTGAGGCCTAGTCCACACGTAGTCGGGTTTTTGTAAAAAATGAATATCCGCCCCTCCAAAAACTTGCATCCACACCACCTCGTTAAAAAAAACAAACTCTGTCCACACGTACCCGGATAAATATGTTGTTACGGACATGCCAGACCTGTAGGCGGCAGTACTTCCCCCGTTCTTAACCTCATCCTTCGTCTGTGGTCTTCCGCAAGGAGCAGTAATTCCGCTTGCAAAAACAAACAAGCAAAAAGCGCTTGGACAATTGATAAAACGAACGCAGCTCTGAGGGCATCCATGCTGTCAACTAGTGTAAACACAGGTCGCACACGTGATGTCAGCATTTTTTTGTCGCGGAAAGTGACGTTGCGGACCTTAAAACTCTGGTTTTGTCCGTCCACACGCAGACACCCAAAACGGAGAAAACGCAGATCTTCACTTTGGCCGGAGTTTTTAAAAAGATCCGTGTTCGTGTGAAAAACTCCATTTTCGTGTGGATGACAGGCCAAAACGTAGAAAAATATCTACGTTTTGGCAGATCACCGGCTACGTGTGGACAGGGCCTAAAAGTCAGATGATATTTACAATTCTGAAGACTGAATTTAATTTGAAAACTCAGATCAGTTTTCTGTCTGAATGAAGGAGGTTAAACATACTTACAAAAGATATACGATCATTTTTTCCATGTGAATTCACATTAAAAATTGATAGTCTGCTTTTAGATATTGATTCAGTATCAAGACACAAAATATTAGTGAATCAATGTTTTCTTCAGTTGGCAATCGAAGGAGGACATTTAGGATAAATGAACCAAACTGATAATGGCTTTTACTTTTCAGTTCTTTTATGAATAAAAATCTTATTGTTTTCATATTGAGAGTTACAGCTGCACAATGCCACCTAACCCTAACCCTAAATCTGGTTTTATTACATTGAAAAAATGTCTCTTTGTCATGAGCTAAACTAATCCAAGCTGTCTTAATGAATCTACGGGCTTTGAATGCAAACACGATCACGGAACGCTCGCCCCTCCTGTCAGGAAGTGGATTTGTTGCAAATACTGGACTCAAATGCAGGTGAGCAGAACCAGGAGGTAAACTGGCAGGCAAAAGAACTGTGATGGTTGGTAGGGTGACACAACAGGAAGAAGAGATGAGGATCTGGCAAAGACAAGCACAAACAGAGGGTTTAAATACATGAGGGTAATCAGGGTAGGATAACAAGGGGCAATCTATGACTTTGTTGTTTTTTTACACGGTTTAGTAAAAAAATGGTTCTTTACAGAAGATGGCGACATCGTCCTCTGCTGCCTGCGGGATGAACGGAAGAGATGCCACCAACACCGGTGAACTCTGATGACGACTAGAGGCATCAGTCGAAACATGTCAACTGTGTAAAAAAGACGAAGTAATGAATCATGAAGTTAAACACAGAACAAACGTACAAAAAAGAATAACAAGGGGCAGGTGAGTCAGACGAACACTTAAGGAGGGGAAAAAGCAGATCCTGGCACCTCCCGTCATGTATCTTCCCTGAGATGCTTCTGCCGGAACCAGAAACCTGCAATACCAGAGGAAACGAGATATCACTAAACACCAGTGGCTGTTTCCTAGGTCCATTTGTCTTTTGTTGTCCGTGACTTCAAATGGTGTTTTCCTTTGCGGGACTCTGATAGTTTGTTCTAAAGTTGAAGTGGTAGCAGCCGGCTGTTTCTCCTTCTCTGACATTACTGAGCGAAGAACTTCTCACACCAGTGGTGTTCTGTTGCTGAATACGTGAGTGAGAAATGAATGGAGGACCCAGGGAAGTGCGACAGTTTGGCGATACCGACAACCAGATGGTCCAATAGTAGCTTTCGGTCAAAAACTATAATAACGATAACAACAACAACAACAACATCATCATCAACAAAGACAACAACAACAACAACAACAACAATAATAATAATAATAATAATAATAATAATTCATATTATTATTATTATAATTATTATTTTTATTTTTATTGTTATTATGTTATTGGCGGAGATATTTAGACTAAAGCAAGGGAACCACTTTATTAATGTTTTAAAATCTCCACAAAATATTTAAATCTGTGGTAACACTTGACAATAAGGATACCTTTATTAACATTACATGCATTATTAAGAGTTAAAAAACTATTTATTAACGTATTAACAACTGCCTAACCATATTATTAATGCATTGCTAAGCAGACACTCCATCCTGGCCCTTTGTCCAAACCGTATACTTAATAGTTATTGTTAATAAGGGGACCCTTATTGTAAAGTGCTAGCAAAGCTTTGCCATTTTAGAATGTTGTTAAGAGGCATGGAAAAAATGTTTAGGCTAATTTGTTTTTAAATCTGCCATTTAACACACTCATATTAATAATTTATCAACTTTCAACAGCAAAGGAATTTGACATGTTTCCCAAAAGTCTAAATATTTGTTTCAAGTCAAGTTCAAGTACCATAATGTAACGCGTATACAATTTTTTTTTCTAATTTAAGAACCTCCGGATAAATATTGTCAAAAATTAAGAAATAAAAACTATGACAATAAAAATAACTTTTAACTAGTTTGATGCATTTTTAAAGCATGGCAAACTTCAACACAACAAACGTATCCAACCCGGTCAAATACATAGATGCAATAAAATGTTTGTTAATGTTATTTTCTCAGAAGTAACTGCGTTAAACAAATAAGCAACAATATTTTTGGATAATGGAGTTATGGAGAGTATGATCTAAAATCTGGTCATGGTTGTACTGTATTTGCTACTTGATTAGTTAACACAATGAAGCATTGAGTCAAATCCCCATTAAGGGATGTCTTCTTATTTCAGAGCTCTTCCAGTTTCCAGGGTCTGAAGATGTGGGTTTCCCTGCTTGAAGCGACCCCTGTGAGAAATGTCTTGGCCTGGAGCAGCGTGATTGACAGGTAAGGCTGACCTCATCTGTGGAGGTGGGTCCCTAAAGACTGATCACTATCACACAACATGGGACAGATGGGATGAAACCATCACTAACAACACCACAGAAGGGACGCCACAACACCCCAAGGCTTCCTCTTTGTCTCACTGACCTTTTTTTAGTGCTTAGTATTTTTGGTTTTCTCTCATTCCACCGAACTTTCCTGACAGTTTCTTTATCTTTTTGTTTATTCTTCCCCTCATCACACATCTGAAGGCCTCTGAACTCACATTTCCACTCATCAAGTGGAAAATCTGCAGTGTCAGACTTCACTTTTTGTTTCTGAAAGATGCAAGACACCAGTAATAACTGCATAATAAGCCGTCAAGTTTGAAATAAAAGTCGAACATAAGGTCTGTGCTGATCATTAGGTATCAATTAATCACTCAATTATCCTAATGGTTCGGCGTGTGTGTCGAGGCAAACACGATCTAAGACTGCAACATCAGTTAAAACGGTCTAATGAACTGAAGAGGAATTCATCATGAAACACCAAATAATTAGCAGCCATGTCTTAAGGGAATACTTCAAAAGGAACCTCAAAGTGATTGGGTTTAGTGAAGTTTTCCCTTCAAAAGCAGAACATAAACACACCGCTTAAGACTACAGAGGTGGAAAAAGCTGTCCTCTATGCCTTTCATTTACAGCAATAAATAATGATTCATCACTAAAAAAGTTTAGAGAGGGTGCATTTGTCTGCGTCAGAAGACGGTGACCTTTGCAGTGTTGTTGGGAGATTAAAGTGACACGGCAGCCAAACACACTCAAAATCAACAAATTAACATAAAACTGGGCCTGTGATAGCTTCGGTTGAGACGAAGGTTTGTTTAGTTTGTTGTTGTTGGGTTGCGGTGCTCTGCGGGGACTCGGTGGAGCAGCACACACGACAGCAGAGCTGAGACACTGAAGGTGTGGTGGCTCCACTGCTGGGAACCGCAACGTAATTAAAATGACACAAACAAAGTGAATCTAATTAGAAATCCCTCCGTTCTAGCTCGTTAGCGCCCGGCACAGCTAAATTATTTCCCTCCATGGAAATAAATGAGGCCACTTGTCTTTGCAGATTTGGTGGCTGCCGTGAGGTGCTCGGGGATGAAGAGCACACGGAAAGTAATTATTGAAGTGTAACTAGTGGAGCTGCATGCTTCAACACAAAGTGTCATGCTCTAACACACGCGGACATCTATGTTGGTCAGCAACGCCACTCGTCACTGTGATCGCACACCTGGAAACGCTTGTTTCTGGTTGTGAGGATGTCAGCTTTCCAGTTCACAAGTGGAAAATCTGCAGTGTCAGACACCTTTCCTCAGTCACGCAAAAGGTTCGTGCGCAACGCTTTCTCAGCAGCGTGCCATGCTCACACAGACCCCCCACACACACTCATGGTTGGTGCAGTGAGGTAAGTGAATCCAGTGGCTGATAGTTTTGAGGGAGCCAGGGGAGTCATTGAGAGCCCATTAGGAGGTTAAGTGGAGGAAGCTCTCCATTGTTCTTCTGTTTGATTCCTGCCCTGTGACCCACAGTCTCCTGGCCAGAGCCTGGGAAACACTGTTAGTGATGATGAGGGGAGGGGGGTGGGATAAAAGGGGATCACATGGGCATAAACACACACACACACACACACACACACACACACACACACACACACACACACACACACACACACACGCACACACACACGAGCGCACACACACACACACACACACACACACACACACACACACACACACACACACACACACACACACACACACACACACACACACACACACATGGAGTTGACACAAAGCTGGAACCGTACAGAGCACTGACAGTTGGATGACTCTCTGTGGACCGTGCTGGCTGTCTGTAAGGGCGGAGAGGTTTCCGGCCAGACGACGGTAGCGGAGCAAAAGGCCAAACACATGCAGTTACAGTTAGAACACATGACTTCTCATAACACGAATCCTATTATTCATCTTGAATCATCTTTGTGAAGTCCCTTTGTCAAATATTTACTGGACAATAGTTTTGCATTTTCAGGTGCAGCTCTCCAATGGATGGTGCGATCTGTGCCCTGCTGTGAAACCGCATCCTGAAATCAAGACATAATTCCTCAATTCAAACACAAAGACATCTAGTTAAGGCAAAATGTAGAATTCCTAATTAGTCTACTATCCATGCGTGACGCTGGGTAGCCGGAGGTAGCTGAACCACCTAAAGAAAAACACCAAGGATACCCATAACTGTGTCCTGTTACCTCACAGCAACAGTCTTCAGTGATAATTATGTTAGTTCACCAGACATAAATTTGTCTGTTTAATTTTTCATCCCAGTGCTTCTCAAAATGGAGGGAAGGCACTGAAATTACAAGGGTTGGTGGTCACATGATAATTGTGATTTAAAAAGCCAGAAAATATTTGAGAACCTCTAATTTACCTCTAAATTATGGAATAACCAAAGCAAGTAAATGTGATCCATCCTTTGGAAACCACATATGTCAGTAACATAATTTGTCCCAGAATTGCTTAAATCCCAGACTTAAGTTGTGGACTGACAAACCAGCAGAGCTACTAGAATGACTTAAAAACAAAGAGACAATTCAAACTTTCCATGTCTGTGATGTATGTGTCATCGGCCCACTGGGAATTCCTGCACTGCAAGCACACCGACTCCACATCAGCCACAAAAACCAGCTTAGAAGTTACTGAAATAACTCCAGTTTTATGAGTAACTGCTTCGTCTGCTTCGAGGAGAGTCTGCGGAGGTAGATTTCTACATTTATTTTGTCACAATAAAAGTGATCCTCTTATATTCATGTTGCTCCTTTTCTCCAAATACAACCCCTGTTCTAAATCAACCGTTTGCAAAAGACCAATTACTTTTTATGCCTCAGTTATCAGGCATTGTTTTGTATTTAAAAATGCTGCCATCATTTAGAACAAAAAAAAAAATAGGATGGACAGTTTTTTTTTAGATAAGAATGGGAGAAAGTGCTCTGGTGTTCCCCCTGGAGACGGTTTAGGATCCATTTATCTTGCATTTGGAAACTAAGTTTGTTTGATGTTTTTGTTGATTTCTAATTATGCCTACCATGTATTTTTTGCTTCAGTTGTATAAAAACAAGTCTTTATTTTATTTGGCACATTAAGTGTGTCAAAATTCCTGATTAATTCTGAACTGAAATGTACAAATATTTTAGCAGAGGCTAGATCATTCATTTGCATACGTTTAATTATTTAAGCGATTCAGGAACAGGCATCTCACTCATTGTTTTGTTTTAATGCAGCTCTCAGGTTTTTGCAGTTTATCTGAAAAATTTTAACTAAATATAAATAAAGGTTTTACCACAAGAAGAACGAGGGAGGAACTCAGAAGCAGCACATAGAAACAACATTAACGCTAGATCATTGAGCAATCCTGATCAGTTTTTAAATGTTCCCTTTCTCTTTAAAAGTCTTCTCATAGCTGAGGAGGATGACCTGTAGATGAAGGCGGCAGCTCTGCAGGAGGAGGCGATGGGTTGCCACCACAGGGTGGATGAACACACAAGGGGGAGGTGGAGGTCATGCGAGTGGATGCGGAGAAAGAGGAGGAGTGAGGGGGT